ACTATGGTAAAAGTACCACTACATTCAAATATAATACAAAGAGAGTCAACTGGGATGAATTAAGGTCTCCATTCATAAGCATGATAGAAGAACGTTTACCCCATAATGTAGATATTGAAAACTTGCCTGAAACTGAATTAGAAGAATACATCAACTGTATTACTTCTATAATACAGACAACCTGCGACATATTAATTTCAAAATCAAATGCTCGTAAGTACCGATGCCCGTGGTGGACAGACGAACTTGAAAGTATTAAGAAAGATGTCATTCGTAACCACCACAGAATTCAAAAACTGATACGTCAGAAAAAACCTATCGAGAGTGCTCTTGAAGAAAAGTTACGACTCAAAGAAGCATACTCAAAAGCATTTAGAGAAACTTCTACAAGAAATTTCAGGGAATTCTGCGAAAAACAAGGCAAGGAAGACGTCTGGTCAGTCACAAACAGAATAATAAAATCTGGACCTCCATTACAACCTCCAGTAACTCTGAAAAGGAACGATGACACGTTTACCACCAACAGCTCGGAAACAGCTCAAGAGCTTCTTAATCGATTCTATCCGGACGACGAATTCAAAGATACCCTGCAACACACGGAAATGAGGAACTTTTCCTTGGCCTTGCCGGATACACCGGATGAGCCTCCATTCACCTTTGAAGAGATCATATCATGTCTTAATAGTATGAATCCTAAAAAGGCCCCAGGCACCGACCATCTTACTGCAGATATCTGTCTACTCTTCGCAAATTGCTTTCCACATTTAATCACATCTGTTATGAACCAATGTCTCAAACTCGGTTATTTTCCCAAAATATGGAAGCAGGCGTTTATAAAAATACTTCCCAAGCCCAATAAAGACGATTATACTAATGCATCTTCATTCCGTCCCATTGGTCTAATAAACGTGTTCGGAAAGCTATTAGAGAAGCTTATTATACGTAGGCTTACATATTTCATGCACTGCAATAAACTGTTCAACCCAGCTCAATACGGATTCAGAGAACAAACTTCGACTGTCAATGCACTCAGTAATTTGATTAATAATATTTCTCATGCCATAAATAACAAGGAACACGTAACTGTCATTTCACTCGACATACAAGCTGTATTCGACAACGCTTGGTGGCCGTCTATATACAGAAAACTCCATAAAATTAATTGTCCTCGAAATGTTTACAAAATATTTCATAGTTATTTTCAATGTCGTAAAGCTACAATTAACATTTGTGATAGCTCCGTAAGTAAAATCTTAACCAGGGGGTGCATACAAGGTTCAGTATGCGGTCCATTTTTATGGAACCTCATAGTGGATGAACTCCTGGACATGAAAATGCCTTCGAATTGCACTATCCAAGCGTTCGCCGACGATATCCTTCTTATATCTCATGCCAAAAACATAAAGAACTTACAAAACAATACCAATCAAGCTCTTACCATGATCACAAAATGGGGACAGGACATGAAGCTCACTTTTGGAGCAACTAAAACTCAGGGCATTGCATTTTCTAAGAAGGCTGCTGGATGCAAACTCTATATGTCAGGTCACGAAATACAATTTTCCAATGAAATCAAACTGCTTGGAGTCGTAATAGACAGAAAATTAAAATTAATTAGGCATGTCGATTATATAGTTAATAAAGCCCGCAAATTATACAGGAAACTTATATTATTTGTCAAACCTACTTGGGGTATCCATGCAGAAAATATAGAGATTATTTATAAACACGTAATACAACCCATTATTTGCTATGCGGCCTCCATCTGGCAGTCTGCCCTTAAATATAAGTGCGTAGTAAACAAATTACTTTCCTTGCAGCGTGGATTCGCATTGAATATTATTCGCGGTTTTCGAACTGTGAGCACTGTAACCAGTATATCCCTTGCACAACTGAGCCCATTACCTGCTAAAATAGCAGAAACGGCTGACAATGAATTGACAAGAATATCGCAGAGATCACGATATCTCCCAAACGACATCACTCTAGACACACCAGCCGAACCCGAAAAGCTTTTACATCCATCTCTGAGAAAGTCAATTAAATTTTATGAAAACCCATCATTAAATGACATGACAAACGAAATTCAAAATGGCTACTGTATATTTACGGATGGAAGCAAACACGATGGAAAAGTGGGTGCAGCAATGGTCGTAAATAAGCCTGATGGACGCCAACTTATTCGGAAATATAAATTACACGACTCCTGCTCTGTGTTCCAAGCTGAACTACTCGCGATTATGAAATCCTGTAGATGGGTCCTAGATAATAATACAACTCCTGCGTACATTTTCTCAGACAGTAAATCCGGATTACAGGAAGTTTACAATCCAAATAGTCATAACTCCCTAGTCGTGATTATTCACAAAATCTTACACCAGTGTCAGATTAAAAATCTTAATATTAAATTCTTTTGGGTAAAAGGACATTCGGGCATCCCTGGAAATGAAACAGCAGATCTAGCCGCTAAAAGTGCTGCCGCTTCCCATCGATCATACGATTTTACACAATTTCCTATGAGCTACGTCAGACATATTAATTATCAATACACAGCCGCAGAAATGAAATCATTTTATTCTCAAAACAACCAATCTATTTACACCAAGTCATTGCTTCCAACATATGAAGATCTTACAAAATTCATTGAAGTACTCAAGCCCAATTTCGTAATAACACAGTTCCTCAGCAATCATGGGTATCACAAAGAATATTTATACCGCTTCAAAATAACAAACGACGACAAATGTCCATGCGACTTATCTAGTATCCAGTCTATGGCACATCTTATCCAGCAGTGTCCTGTATTTAGTAAAACTCGGGCAAATCACGAGATTGCATGCACAATGCTAAAAATCAATCCGTATGATATGTCCCAAATAATTAGTAAGGAAATCAGCATTGAAACCTTTAAAGTCCATGTCACACACATTGTTAATAATCTGAAAAACCTCAATAAAAATACATAGGTGATACAATTGACATTTAGTTCCGACAGTAGACAGTTCAAATACCTCTAGCATGATTTCAGTAAAATATGTAAAAAATATGTACATAAGTAAAATAAAAGTTAATCCAGATAAATTGCTACTTCATACATTTCAAAGTAAAGCCACCATGGTAAATTAAATGAAAAACATATAAAATCAGAGTAGCTAAAAATGTAATCAGTGAATCATGCTCAAAATGTGGATAAACATAAATTTCACAAAAAAAAAATGTTTATTAAACTAACTGTTAAACAACAATAATAACACATAAATAGTAAACTGTAACTACAAACACCACATACCATTAGGAATTGTATACCAATAGCAATTCCTACTGGAATATTTAGGAACAAAAAAAAAACTATACGTGACGAGAAGATGTGTCGTAATCTCCCAAACACTCCCCAGTCGATTTGGATCTTATGTTTCTGGGGGCACAGCAGTGCCCACGCCATGTCAAGCAAAAAAGCGCCACGGCCGTACCATACTTTTCTCGAAGCAGTTCAGGCCATTTTCGACCCCCTATAACTTCGTTGTGGATAAAACTAGAAGCCTGAATTTTCAGTGACCAAGCTTACATTGTATAAACACAATACGTTTTAAATTTCGTTCAGTTTGAACTAGTAGTTTAAGAATTATACCTAACTAGTCAAAGTTTCTTAATTTTGTCAATCATTCACTGACTGACCGATCATCAAAACTCTAAGGCACTTTTAGCAGACGTAGAAGCTTCAAATTTAGACTGTAATTAGTGTAGTGTATAAATCAAGGAAATGCTAAAATATTTTGTAATTTCGGTCCAGTTTTCTAACTACACGAACTGCATAAATAACTTTGTAAACCTAATGTACATCGCACAAAAACACAATGTATCTCACAAGTAATACATATATATTAAATTAGATTGTTTAGTACGATTGACAAGTCAATCTATGTATTTAAAACATAAAATAATGTTAATATTGATATGGTCACTATAAGATGTTGTTAGGTTAGCTAATTATGTAATAACTTGAGACAGAAGGAAGTAGGGACTGAATAAATTAACCGACTTGGTATTACATGGATCTCACAACTTTTTACGGTAGAAGAACTGAGTTGCGAGACTTGGCTTTTTTTACAAGTTATGTTTTTGATGGCATTAGTTTTACTACAAATATTTTCTTTTAATTTACCATTCAAAATATCAAGCGACAAAGTAGCATGCATCATGAGCTTTCCCTGTTCTAAATGTTAAAGTATAAAAAGAGGCTCAAAAAAAAAAACTCAACATTCGATTAAAGTGTTGTATATCGCACACTGTAGCTTTGAAACTTCATTGGAAAAACTCGGCTTCGAGTGGTAGAAGAAAAATAGACATCTCTATTAATATGTCTATGGAAAAAACCCATGCTCTGTTCTGAAAACCTTATGCTCAAAAATGGTTTACAGAAGTTTATAGAAGCTCTGATTTTAGAATGACCTATTGACATAAACAACCATAGATAAGAATGTATAATATACGGAAATAAACAACCTTACTTTTTGAGTTCTTGACATGTTGACAATACGAAGCAATACGAAGTTTCAAAGCTCGAATAGATTATATGATAAATTTTAAATTAGCGTGAATAATAACTGCAAATAATTAATCAGTTAACTCATCGATTAAGTGAGAGAGATAAGGAGGCGAGTCGTTCGTTCAACAAATAACAAGTTACTCTACTTGTGGAACGTGGAGTTGACGTGCGTGCTGTAAACGTGCGATCGCCGTAAATATTTAGTCTTTAACTTTTTTATAACTAAAACTTACATTTTCTTATTCATTTACCAACATTTTATTTATGTTGAATTGTAAATAATAATATTAGATGCTTTATTTCACCAATAACTTTTAACAAATGATTGTAGTCCAAATAAATAAATGAAATTTTCAAAGAAACTTGACTAGTAATTGGGTAAATAACTAATCTTTTCATATTCATAGCTATTTTACTGAGATTTCCGATAATAAAAGAAGAAAACTACATAAAAATGCAGAACGGAACCACAAATGGAACAGAATATTTTGACTTAAAGGATATGCCGCATATCATTAAAGCATTGTAAGTTTTAACTATCTCTCTAAAATTAAATTTTATTTAAAATTTTGATTTTGTTTAATACAATTTAATTTATTTTCAGAGACAGAAATCAAAAATTACAACCTGATATTCTACATTTAATCGGTAACACTCCATTGGTCAAATTGAATAAAATACCAAAACAAGAAGGATTAGAATGTGATATGTGTAAGAAATTTTTTATCTATCATAAACCTTAGAAAATTACCCAATAATGGTTTTGTACAATTTTAAATATATTTTTGGTAAAAACTTATTTTTATGAATATATTTTTAGATGCAAAATGTGAGTATTTGAACCCAGGTGGTTCAGTGAAGGATCGCATAGCATACAGAATGGTGTTAGATGCTGAAGAAAAATGTATACTCAAACCTGGAAAATCTGTTATAATAGAACCTACTTCAGGGAACACTGGGATTGGTCTAGCACTTGCTGCTGCTGTAAAAGGTATGTTCTTGGGTCTCCATTTTAAAAACCTTCTAATATAAGAATGTAGTTTATATTTGTGGAATAATTATTTTAAAATAACCTCTTTTTCGTTAATGACATCCACAGTTGCCAACCCGTTTGCCAAGAGTGGCACTATGGCAAATATCCTACCTATGAGGCAATTTTTAATTGGCTATAACTGTAAGAAAGTGTATATATTTATTTGATTTTAAGCAAAATTGTTATAAATTTATTTTTCTGCAGGGTATAGATGTATTATTGTACTGCCCGAAAAAATGTCTGATGAGAAGGTAAACACTTTAATGGCATTGGGTGCAGAAATTGTCCGGACTCCCACAGAAGCTGCTTCTCATGACCCTGATAGCAATTTAATGGTTGCTCGTCGGCTCACTAAAGAAATCCCAGATGCTGTCATGTTAGACCAGGTAAAATTTTTATGTATAGCATTACTAAACATTCTTTTGAAATGCATTTTTATTTATAGGGAACGTAGATGTAATTTTGTAGTGTTTTTTTAGCTGTCAAATACTACAGAAATATTCTGTACAATATAATAACTATCACTTAAGTTAGTAACATAGTATATGGGCTATTAACAAGCTTTGCTCATTGTTTAAAAAAAACATTTCCTCAAAAATCACACATATCTAGAGGAACTTGAAAAGTAAAAAAGTATCTAAATGCAAAATTTCTTTTTAATTGTTGCCAATTCATATAAAATATATTATACATACACTAACATAAAATATATGATACATATACACGAAAATTGCCCCCTAAATTATAGGAAAGTAGCCTAACAAATTTTTTCAAGACAGAATTTGTATATTATGATTAATCGAATTGAATGAAAAATGAACTTCACATTTAAATTATTGCTACATTCTTCTTTTTTAAGCAACCCAAAATAGTCCACTGTTAGGCCAGGGCATCTACCATTTTATTTCAAAATAACTTGTCAATGTTAATTAAAACATATGAGTGTTACTTGATCTATTTTCTTATCCATTTTAGCCTTATGACATTATATACCAATCTCTTTTTCTAAAGACAATATATATATTGTTCACGCCCTTAGTTGCCCCTACAATAGTCGACTGGGCTAGGGCCCATAGTAGCCCCCTCGACGAGCAACAGAGAGCGGAGCCCAATGGCGTATGGACAATTATTCTATATATGTATAAGGGCTGCTAAGCAAACAAAAACTTACCGATCTCCGGAGGTAGGGCTGACCACAGGGTACCAGTCAAGTGATAAGTGAGGTGTATGTAAAGTGGTGTGCGAAAGTGTGTATAAATGGAACCTGACTTCCCCGATGTAGTCGGACCGCAGATGCACAGGCGCTGCTTTTCCCCAAATGTGCGCTCCCTCCAGTGGTAGTTCACCAATTGAAACCTTCTGCCTTCATTTCACTATTTCAGTTTATCAACTTTATTGTACACTATTTCAACCTATCAACTTTATTGTACATTTATTGTTCATCGAAATTAAAACAAGTGAGACGCTGCATAAATAATGAACGGTCGATCAAAGTTCAACGTTCCATGCTCACTTAGCAACAAATTCTTTCGTACGACATTAACAGGCCACACAAGCAAATTAAATATTGCAACGCACTTCAAAATGCAATCACTATACAAATTGACGTAAATTACTTGCAAACGAAGTTAAGTTAATCACTCAAACTCAAGAAAAACGCCTCGTCGTTACGTAAACTCACTAACAAACGACACGAATTAGAGGCTTCCTTTTGCACGCGACCTCGCAGTTCAACGGAGCAAAACGACTGCAATTAATGTCAATCTAAGTTAAGTTAATTACTCAAAACTCAAGGATAAGCCTCGTTATCACTTCAAATGCTCAAAACAGACAACTCCATTCGAGGCGGTCTTAACGAGACCCAAATCTTCGATAGTAAATTAAACGCGCACAATTACTCAAAATTCAGACCGTGAAAACCAACACCGGTCGCGCGCAATCAATCCAGCGGTCACAGACAATACAAACTAGTCGACAAAGCCGCAGCGGTCAAGATACTGATGTCGGTCCACCCGGCCGAAAGCCGGGAAGCGGCACACGCCGCCCCCCCCCCCTCCCCGCCCCCCCGGCGGCGTTTACGTCACCTCATACCATCGGGTGACGCGCCGAGGCAAACGTTATTGGATGTAATTTCAAATTCCCATATTTGGCCTAAACATATATTATAAAGAGAATAGTTCATATAGATCAAATCCTTCTTATTATATTACTATAATATTATAACTTACTGTGTAAGTTATAATACCAGAGTATGATTTACTATCACAACTGCATACTTAAATTGTTCATCATTATCATCATTACATCCCATCAAAGTTCTCTGCTTAATATAGAACTTCCCATAGATTGCCTCTTAAGAGAGATATCTGCCATCGTTGCCATTGTTGGCAGTCGGGTTGACAATCGCAGTTTTATATTACATGTCACCTCTTTTGACACATATGGAACGATTTGCGTTAGTGGATATTTCCACACCGCAACTACTCAGTCATTTTATATTGTTTGCCGATCTAGATTCAGAAATTTGCAACTTTGAATTCTAATTAAACTAAATATTTGTTTAATAAAACACTTATCTCAAATTTATCCAATATCATATCATAATAATTAAGCTTTTAACATATTTAATTTGAAATGCAATACCTTAGTAAAGCTTAATGACGCCCATAATTAACATAATATATATAACATAATTTGGTGATTTTGGTGATTTGATTCACAAGGGGTCGCTTGACAACTGATGCTGGTGTTGAGCTGATTAAAAATATTTTCAATGCATGGGACAATTCGCGGGATGCTTTGGGCATATTTTGTGACCTATCCAAAGCCTTCGATTGTGTTCACCATGAAACTTTAATCAGGAAACTACAACACTACGGTGTAAGAAGTAATGCTCTTAAATTAATTGTTTCATATTTAAGTAACAGAACGCAAAAAGTTGTCATTAATAGTATGAGCTCTTCCAGGTCGATAGTACAAACGGGCATGCCTCAAGGCTCAATTCTCAGCCCTTTTCTGTTTCTTGTATATATTAATGACTGACCTTACATAGTAGGGGATGGATAACCATAATATAGTATTATTTGCTGATGACACTTCATTAATTTTTAAATTGAAACGACAATTATTAAAATATGACAAATTAGTAAATTGGTTTAATATTAATAACTTGCATTTAAATGGCACTAAAATGAAATGTATGAAATTCATGACCCCAAATGTCAAATATTGAAATAATAATGTAATATTAAATGCGGGGGAACTGAGTCTTGTCGATACCACCATTTTTCTTGGAATAACACTAGACGCGAAGCTTCAATGGAGCCCGCATATATCAAAACATAGTTTTATTAAATGTGATAGGTACGTCTTATTGATAGTAAATCATAGTTTGGTATTATAACTTCATCATAATATATTGTATATTACAGTATACAGTAACGTTTATAGTGATATAATAACAAGGTTTTGATCTATGTGAACTAGTTACCCGTTGGTTACAGATACCATAATATCTGTATACAGTCTTTATTTTTGTCGATATCTCTTATATGTTCTCAATTTCAAAATGCCGCAAAGGAATTAATGGCAAAAAAGTACTGATATTTTTTAATTTCTTGAAATCTTTATTTATCTTTTATTTTCAGCTGCCAAACAATGAAATCATAGAAAAATTCCTAGCTCCAGCTACCTAGCTATTACTAGATACCGTATTATAATAACGCATTCGATAAAACTAAGTAATGTTGTTAAATAAAATTACTTTTACAGTAATAAATACTACCATGATGACAATGAATTCTTATCTTACCAGATACCTAAAATGATATCTATTTATTTATACATGATTCAAAAGCCGTTAACTAAAAACATGATTATCATCACGCATTACAGTCCTAAGGTTTCGACACCGTTTTAGAAGATGCTTATCTTAAATTATCGTTAAACATATCTATAAATACAATTACCAGACGCGTAGCCTTGTAAATAGGTTGGTTATAACTATGACGATCCATTGTTTGTTTTCTAGTACCGTAAATAGTATCTGACAAGAATTTTCTATCATAAATTTCGATCTACCCGACTTTTATACTGTCCTGTACTACTTATATGAGTGTGTCGTAGTCCTATAATACAATATTATAAACACTTAACTTATACTACAATATAATATACCTAACCTCTAAATGGTTAGGTAGCAATATGTTAAGGGCGTTATCTAAAGGGTTAGCATAGGATTAATGTTTTTGTCAGCAGAGAAACGTAATCTAGCAGCAGAAATATGTAATTTGTCAGCAAACCATGGCTAGCAAACATTATTAAATCAATCGGCAATTTTAGACATTTTGGACAGCTGTAATTTTTTTAGTCATCATCATCATCATCATTACAGCTCTTCACAAGTCCACTGCTGAACATAGGCCTTCCCCAAGGAATGCCACAAAACACGGTCCTGAGCCACCTGGATCCATTGACTTCCTGCATGTCTTACCAGGTCGTCACTCCATCTAGTGGGGGGAGCCCTACACTTCGTCCGCCGGTACGAGGCCACCACTCGAGAACCTTTTTTTCCCATCGGTTGTCGGTTCTTCGAGCTATATGGCCAGCCCATTGCCACTTCATCTTATTAATCCGTTGGGCTATGTCGGTCACTCTGGTTCTACTGCGGATATTCTAGATGACCTATCCGTTGGGAGGCACTATTGAGGTCATTGAGCATAGTGCTTAGGTCCTCCAGCGATTCTGCCATAAGGACTATATCGTTGGCAAATCTGAGGTGAGTGATTTACTCGCCGTGGAGGCTCTAACATCATAGACCACATACATACCCTTCGGGAAATTGTACAGAAGTACGAGGAGTACAATTTGCCACTATTCTGGCGTATGTGGACTATGAGAAAGCCTTTGATTTCGTTGAAATTTGGGCGGTGCTGCAGTCTCTTAAGCAGTGCCAAGTTGACTGTCGATATATCGAAGTGTTGAAGTGTTTGTACAGTAGAGCTACGATGGCTATCCGAGTACAGAACCAGAGTACGAAACCTATCCAACTACAGAGAGGTGTAAGACAGGGTGACGTTATATATCCCCGAAACTCGTCACCGCTGCATTGGAAGAAGTTTTCAAGCTACTGGACTGGAAAGGATACGGTATTAACATTAACGTCGAGTACATCAATTTTTTTTAGTAACCAACTTCGACCGAGAGGTCATTCGACGGATTCAACTCGGCTGGGCAGTGTTCGGGTAATTACGGCACATCTTCTCGTCAAGTATACCTCAAAACTTGAAAACGAGACTGTACAACCAGTGCGTGTTGCCAGTGATGACCTATGCAACTGAGACGTGGTCCTTCACTGTTGGCTGGATGAGGAATCTCAAGGTCGCCCAGCGAGCTATGGAGATTGCTATGCTCGGAGTTTCTCTGCGTGATAAACTTAGAATATCCGCAGTAGAACCAGAGTGACTGACATAGCCCTACTATGGATTAATAAGATGAAGTGGCAATGGGCTGGCCATATAGCTCGAAGAACTGACAACCGATGGGGAAAAAAGGTTCTCGAGTGGTGGCCTCGTACCGGCGGACGAAGTGTAGGGCTCCCCCCACTAGATGGAGTGACGACCTGGTAAGTCATGCAGGAAGTCAATGGATCCAGGTGGCTCAGGACCGTGTTTTGTGGCATTCCTTGGGGAAGGCCTATGTTCAGCAGTAGACTTGTGAAGGGCTGTAATGATGATGATGATGACTAAAAATATTACAGCCGTCCAAAATGTCTAAAATTGCCGATTGATTTAATAATGTTTGCTAGCCATGGTTTGCTGACCAATTACATATTTCGGCTTTTAGCCATAACATATTTTTACAAATTTAACAGTACACCTAAATTTAACCAACTACTGCGGCTAGCAGTAGTTGGTTGAATTTAGGTCTCCGCTTATAGACATTTTTTGTTAACCAATCGTGAATCTTGCTAATAAATTAAGTATTTTGCGGATTGACTGTTTATTAGGCAAACTCATATTATTATTATTATGGGGTATTTGTATAGTTTTCTCATCTGGTTGGGCTGTATAAATATATAATTGTAAATGAAAATGATAAACTTACATAAATATCAATAAAATAAAATAAATACATAAAAATTACATAAATATATAAAAGCCCAACCAGATGGAAGCCCTCGGCAGGGGAGACCAAACGGCCGAGGGTTAGGGGGAAAGGGAAAGAAACCGGCGGACGATTCGGGCGGTATCGAGGAGCACCGCCTTCTGCATTTGAGCTTGGAGCGATCCGTCACAGAGTCCTAGTCGCCTCAGATGACCCGAGAGGCTGACTGAGATTAACCCGATCGCAGAGACGACCACAGGAATAATTAATTATTATTATTATTGTAAGCTGCCTATTTATAATTAAATTACTGAACATTATCAAGATTATTTGCAAAACAAGAATTGCCGATTTTTTTTTAATTGTAAACAGAATCTTTGAATGCTAACCAAATGATTTAAATGCTGTGTTTTGTGGCTAAACAAATTTTATTACGGCTTAACATTTAATTACATCTCATATATTAACTACATCAGTGTTATGGGACGAAGCTACGGAAGGAAAATATCTTACGATGACATCACGACTTCCTTACTTGTTGTATCTTATACAACTTTGTTTATAATCGTTATTGTAATATAAATAAGTGTTAGCTAAAGCCGTTTTAACTTTTAAATGAAGTTGTGTTACATGATTTGCGAGTTATAGCGAATAATTACTCGATGTTAACATCCGCACAATTTTCATATTGACAATATTCTCAAAATAATTGCACACACCTGCGCTATGAATCGTGCACAATAAACACTCACTTGTAAGATTAATTAGTTCTCGTGTCTTTAAAATGTTCCTATCAGACTATTAGTCTAATCTAATGTAAGTATTTAGCCTCCTATGGAGGATTTATCAAAGCAGCCGTATTGGTCATCACTATATCCGATCATATACTTAACCGACCTCAGTGTTTTTGTTGGACAATTAACTCGTTAAATAATTACGGTTGCTATACCGACTGCCAAGCGTGGTAACAGTGGCAAGTTATTAAAGTAACATAGGGCTATACGATTAGGCCTATGTTCAGCCGTGGACTGAAAAGTCTACAGGTATACATAAGCCATCATCATGATGACGATGATGATGATTAACTGGTTTGTCACTCAAATATTATATAAAAAAGCTAAACGCTTGTCTGCGTAACTGCGTATTAAACGCACTGGCCATACCTACACAAGACGTGCGCAAGTGATCAATTACGTTTAAGCGTTGGTGCAAAGTATAAATAATTCTATTTACGAATGCTGCTAGCAAAGCTGCTCACATTGTCTGTAACAGGCATTTATGTCAGTTAGTTTTGCTGTATACGTGCTCGGTAATGACGAAAATAAAAATATCATGGGGAAACCTGCATGTCGGAAGAATAAAACTATTTCGAAGACATGCAAAATCCAAGCACTGTAGCAGCGCGGCAAACTAATAGCTCCTTAACCCTCTCAGATATGAGAGGAGGCTGCGGCCATCAGCATTTCACGCATTTATTTATTTATTCTTTATTGCATTCCTTAAAAAGAAAGAATACAAAGGGTGGACTTAATGCCTTGAGGCATTCTCTACCAGTTTATCTCTATGTTGGTGGTGGTGACAATTTGACGTAGGTGTAGCATAAAAAGTAAAAAAAAAGTATAAAAATTAATTTTTTTTTGTTCGTATTTTATGCGCTGCCATACCGTTCATCAGATTGCGCTAAAACTTTGTCAACTTATTGCTTGCACTTACGCGAAGGTTATAGGCATGGTACAATTAACTTACAGTAGGTGGCACGCATGTCGTACGGACAAATGTATTTGAAAGTTATAATATATCAGTCAATTTCAATGAATGTATTATCATCCCTAACAAAACAAACAATATAACTCTTCCAAATTTAAAATGATATTTCGACAGTTATTTTTTCTGTGGTATCAACGCGCCGGGTACCAGCTAGTTCAGAACAAAAAACAAAAAAAAATGTAATTAACTACGTAATATACACATTTAACTAATAAATAAACTATGCAAATATAACCTATGCGTAAATGTAGACAAATATATTCATACATATTTATATACATTTATAATTAGTAGACTAGTGTTATTTTACTAACAACAAAAACATGTTTGTGCCAACAGTACAACAATGTATGCAACCCCTTGGCTCATTACGATGGAACAGCTGAAGAAATTCTATGGTCACTGGACGACGACGTAGACATGGTTGTCATAGGGGCAGGCACCTGCGGCACTGTGTCAGGCATCGGTCACAAGATTAAGGAGCGCTGTCCGAAATGCATCATTGTAGGAGTTGATCCTTTCGGCTCTATTTTGGCAGAACCTGAAGAAATTAATAAGAGCGACGTACAAATGTATGAGGTAAATATGATTTAATTTTACGTCTGTATTTTTATTTTAAACGAATTTTTAGAGTTTTGGCGGGAACTTGACGACACACGGACCATTGCTCTATTCTCCTATGTTTTAAAGTTGATTTTGATTTGATACGCGTTTCTGTAGGTACAGACTCGGACAGAATACACAAAAGTGGTGAGTTAATGAGTATCAAATATCTACGCATGTAAATAATTAAAGGAAACGATGAAACAAGTGTCCCAATTAATAATAATAACCTCAAGATACAAGTCCGTTTTGGAGCCTTAAGATTTTGTCATAAAACGTCTTCTGGCATAGGCTAACGTCAAAATCCGTAATTTGACGCACTCAAAGGGCTATCAGTGCGGCGTCTAGTCCATACAAACGTAATCCCTTGTTTTCTCCCTAAACAATGACGCTAGAACAAATATTTTTCACGGTATAACATCTACCACCACACATATGTTTTGTTTTTACCGTAAATTAATTATTTTTAAAACTAGAAACCATTCAAAATTACTGACATTACCTAGTTATACCTTCTCCGACATCAATCAGAAATATTAAAAACATAAATAAAAGAAAGACTTAAAGATACAATGATTTTTATAAAGCTCTAATAAAAAAAGTCATTATATTGAAATTGAATTTTAAAATTAAACATTTTTGTTAAAGAAAACAGGATAATAGGAGATGGTGATTTAATCAAATTTTCATCGGTACAGTAATTATTGTACTCCGACAAACGTTTTGCAAGGCGGTGTCGGATTATCTTTGTTCGACTATAGAGTACTGCCACAGCCCCTTGGTAGTCCAGACTTTTTTAAAAAGTACTTTAAAATCCGACAAAATATATCAAATATAAAATAATAAAATATAAAAAAGTCATGTAATGCACGATGAATACATAAACTGCTGCAACCCCGTAGTCACATTTAAACTGAGACAATGCAATGGCGCATTGCAAACTGTTTGCCCACGTATTCGCGAAAGGCACCTCCCCCCGTGGCGGATTCATAACGTGGCTCGATTATACAAAGTACAGAGATGTGTTAAAGGCATGTTGGATTACAAGGGGTGCTGATTGGCCAGGTGCCGGATTACCGGCGGTCTGCTGTATAATCAGTCCCCCCTGCAGGTGTCTCTCGGTTGCCTGGCTCGGTCGTTCGGACACAAACCTATTTTTTAAATGTCTTGCCGACACTACACCCAATATCTATATATTGTGAAGATATAAGTATTTATATTTTGTATAATGTAATACAGCCTTTTATGTATTCCCTTTCCTGCATGTTGTAATAGTAGCCGATGTCGTTAGAAATAAACAAATACTTAGCTAATTTTCTACATTATTTTTTCTAACATAATATAAATTATTAATTCTCTTTATATTTATTCTCAATCATCATCATCATCACTTCAGCCTTTCACAAGTCCACTGCTAAACATAAGCGAGGCCTTATTAAAGAATGCTACCAGGTTGTTACTAGAGGGTCACTTAAAATTACCGCCACGAGGCTGCCATTCGATAAGCTTTTTTGCCACTTCAGCTGACTGATGCTTTGGGCTATGTCGGTTACTTTGGTTAAACTGCGGATATCTTCATTACCAATTGTATCACGCAGAGAAATTCCGAGCAAAGCCCTCTTGATAGCTCGCTGAGCGACTTTGAACTACAATTGCCTTAAAACAACATCTCAGACCATACGTCAGCACTGGCAACAGGCACTGGTTGTACAATCTTGTTTTCAAGTTCTGAGGAATGGGTGACGAGAAGATGTGTCGTAATCTATCAAACAAAGTTATAAGATTACACATTATTTAGATAGTTAATTGCACTTTGATCTTATCTTTTTACATTTCGTGTCCAATCAGTAAATCATGCATTGATTTAGTGAAACGGCGATATCTTTTCCGTCTGCATTTAATCCACGGATTAGTATTTGTTCGGATTGTTAAATCAATTTGATATAAATAAATAGTACCTAGCCGTGGTAGTTCAGAGGTAAATCCACAGTACGAAAACAAACTGGGTTCGAACCCCATCGATGCCTGTGAAGTGTCAAATGCAATTTGAAGTGCTGATTTACCACGTGCACGTGCCACGTGCTCGGCGGTGAAGAAAAACATCGCGAGAAAACGTGATTTTGTACGTGGTAGAGCCATGCTGCAGCTATATTAATTGTATAGTTGTAGCACGAATGGGTTGGTTTCGACCGGGGAAAGACCACGCTCTCACAGAATACTAGCGTAAAATAGCAGCTTAATGCTGTTTTATTACGTATGGTGAGTGTACAGAACCGGAGACCCTTTTCCTGGAAAAGAGGCATTCCATCTTACTTCCCACGGCTAACAAAGCATCTGCATTTTGATTCGCAAACGAGGGTAGATGTGTATGTCTATGGCCACAGCAACCACTTACCATTAGGTGGGCTGTGTGCTCGTTTGTCATCCTTATCCTATTAAACAAAACCTGCATGTCTAAATAATAAAATATTTAGAAGGCATGCGCAGACCGCCAACACGCACTGGAACACCACGGCGGAAAATTGCGTTTTGAAATAACATGTGGCCTGTGCCCAGCTGTGTGATGTATATAAGCTGCAATTTTTTTTTAATCAGTATTAAATTAAGTAACATTTCAACAAATAACTGATACCATACATAAACATGTATATTAGGAGGGCAACGTACATAACTGCTACTTTTACATTTGCTAAAATGTAATAAAACGTTTATATCATACACTTCAATTGCATTTTGTTCCATTGTTAAACCGTAAACAATAAGGATTGTAGGGAATTATCAATATTGACTTAAAACTCAAACATGTTCGCTTGTAATTACTTCTTCGATACGAAAGATAATTATTTGCGACCACTTGAATCAAAAACTTTGTTTATCAATATTTCTCTAAACACTGAAACAGTGTAAATTTTAAATACGTTGACGCATTTACTATGTTTCAGATCAAATGTTTTACATTGTTTTTATAGAATAAAGGTGACAAACGAGCACACAGTCCACCTGAGGACTAAGATGGAATGCCTCGTTTCCAAAGGTTCTCCGGTTCTCTACACTCACCATATGAAACACAGCAGCGTTAAGCTGCTATTTTACGCTGGTATTCTGTAAGAGCGTGGTCCTACCCCGGTCGGGGCGACCCATTCATGCTACAACTATACTACTAATATAGCTACAGCGTGGCTCTACCACGTATAAAAAACATGTGTACAAGCATGTGGTTCGTGACCGTACAATGTTGCGAAAACCATGTTCAGCAGATGACATGTGACAAGCTGTTATGATGATGAAGATGAGAAATCTAGTTTGATCCTCGCTGGAACTACTGAAATGATTGGGTGAATTATTGAGTACTCCTTTACAATGTGTAAAAAATACCGTTAATTTTACTGTATAAAAACACAAATTATTTCATTTTGTGTCCTACTGAGACCAAAAAAGAAAGACAAACAGAACACTAGGTAACATTTGGCCAAGCTCAACTTAGTGTAAGAATTCTCTAACCTCATGCACACATCATATTATGCATCTAAAATCACTTGCAATCACAACATGATTTTAGCTTATTCTGACAAACAAAGTTTTTTATATCTCAGAATACCATGTGAGCGAAGCCAGAAGTTAGTTTTTTGTATAATGAATAATGCGTAATAGCATCTTACTGATAACAATTCAATAATAAAAACGTTTGCCAACTCAACTACCAAGCGTGGCAACCATGGCAGATTAACTTTTTTTAGGAATGGAATTATGATAGGCAGCAATAAATAAATGAAAAATATTTATTACTTTGTTTCATTTTAAATGTGATTTATCAACTCTAATGAATATCTAATAAACAAGCATACGTAACCGTTGCTTAGTAGCGTAATTGTCTTGCATTGCCACTGCCCACAGATAACAGCTGTCCGCTGAGAAATCATCAGTTGTGGGTCTTCGAACTATATGGCCGGCCCATTCCCACTTCATCTTTTTAATCCTCATTACTAAACTAACATCCCAATATCCCCGTAAACATAGATGCTACAAAATACTTGAAACGCCTAATTAAATGCTATGGAAATCGTAAAATTTTTATTATTCAATTTGTGCACACAACATCGTAAAAATAAAAGATATAGCAAAAGTACAATCCTTGTAACTTTTATCGCAGCCACTTCTGTGTGCCCTTTTTTAGAGTATGGGAGCCAGAGTCGGTGTACACACAGGCTGTGAGGTATTTCATCTTAGTCCTCAGAGGTTTTCTACGTGGTAGAGCCATGCTGGAGTTATATTATGGTTGTAGCACGAATAGGTTGGCTCGACCGGGAAAGAACCATGCTCTCACAGAATACCACTGTAAGATAGCAGCTTAACGCTGCTGCGTTTCGTATGGTGAGTGTAGAGAACCGGAGACCCATTTTACTGGAAACGAGGTATTCTATCTTAGTCCTCACGGGTGACAACGCTCCTGCATTTTAATTCGCAAACGAAGATAGATGTCGATGTCTATGGGCCACAGCAACTACTTACCATCAGGTGGACTGTGTGCTCGTTTGTCATCATTATTGCTACAACTATACTATTAGTATAGCTGCAGCATGGCTCTACACAGTTCGTGACAAGCAAGTTTAGGCTTGAGCAGTTGAGGCTCAAAAGAAATAAGTGGCCGAGCACCACAAGAGTCACTCGATCACGAGTGGTACAAGAGTAGAATTACTAAAAGAAATCGAATGACTGGAGTGGAAAAAATGCATTCGAGTCGCATTAAAGGTTTGATAAAATTGTTTAATTTTATCGCTTACTAAAAGAACGAGTTATGTACATAAAGAGTTCTTTAAGAAAATAAAACTGGAAAATGCGTCCCTACCTCTACATTGTGCGGGCCACGCACAATGTAGAGGTAGGGTTCCGTAGTTGCCTGTCACAATACGTGGGCATTCTTGATAATGAGCATAATAAGTGAGTTCGCTTTTGACCGCTATAACGACTAAAAATTAACCCAAATATGAAGACTCAAATCAGCCTTATAAGGGAGTGGTATTCAAAAAAGATTAAAAAAACTTTTCGATATTTGCAATAATACCTTATCTATCCCGCAAATGAAGCTAATAGTAGTAAAACGACTTATATACATAAGTCGATTTCTTCATAAAATGTTTATTTATAACAGATTACAATAACATTACAAAGTTATTAATGCAGTTAGTTTTAGGTCATTTTCTATGGAGTTGTAATGAAATTTTTACTAATCCAAGTGCATTTTATAAATTGCGTCGACTATTACTCGTTAACTTCTAAATTCTACTTAGCTGTGATAGGTTTCCTTTTAACTTCATTATATATATACTTTCACATTTTCTAAAACAGCGGTTTAGTTGATAGAGGGGGTGGACACATGACTCTTATGAAAAATACCACTTTAAAAGTAAATATTTCGCAAACAAACCCCTGAATCGAAAAGATGTTGTTCGACATCCCCAATGGTTTTGAAAGACCTATCCAACCCCACATGATGGAATATACTAGTAAAAAAAAAACATCCACCATTTACTTGTATGGGAGGTACCCAAAATAAAATGTTTTTAAGATTTTATTTCAGAGTTTTCTAGGCGTAATTACTATCTATAACTATGCCAAATTACAGATTTGTAGCACTTAGGGTCTCTGAGCAAAACCGAAGACGGACGGACATGGTGAAACTATAAGGGTTCCTTGTTGTGTAACTACGGAACCCTAATGAGTGATGTCGAGACGAAAGCAACAATGTACCCTAAAATAAAAAATATATTCTTTATTATATCTTAAATAAGACATGATAATTTAAAAATGTTGATAAAGTATTCATCAATGACAAGTATTGTGAGATTTTGCTAAAAGCAACAAAAAGTGTACATGTGGAAAAAGTAGCAAGCCAAATAAGCAATACTTTATTTTTACACGTTGTACTTTATTTTTTAGCTTAAAAAGTAAATATATTTTATTTACTCGAAAAAAAAGACGTGGCAACCCTAGTCGCATTACTAATAGTCTTAGTTATGATGGTGAGGTCCTTGTCGCCTCTTTTGACACATCGTGGCAAAAACTTCTGAATACTGTTGCATACACGTGAAGCTGTCTGTTAACACAAACGTACGAACGCACCTCCCAATGTCAAATGTAATATTGGAAACGAGTATTTCGTTCCATATTAATATAAAAAAAAATTTGCAGAATATTTTTTTATAATATTGTTATCTTTTTTTTTGTAAACAGGTGGAAGGTATTGGTTATGATTTCTTACCAAAAGTCTTAGACAGAAAGATCATAGACCGATGGGTGAAGACGGCCGACAAAGAATCCCTAAATATGTCCCGTCGACTTATAAGAGAGGAGGGATTGCTTTGCGGTAAGTGATAAAATATTGATTAATTTTAATCGCTTACTAGGTAAATTAACAATACTTAGGATTAAAAACTGTTTCCATATTTCGTTACGGGTCCTTATTTAGGTTCTAATAAAGGTCCCACTTTTTGCTACGACTCCGGTCCGGGTAAAGTGTCAGTTGTAAGATGCCAGTCCCAAAATAACAAAATTTTTCAGGTTCCAAGTCGAATGGGGAATCTTTCGTGGCATTAATGTTTAGCTTTATTTTTATACTAGCTGTTGTGTTTTTTTCAAGACCTAAGATAGCATAAAGAGGTAATCATAGAATTTTCCGGAATAAGGAGTAGCCTATGCCACTCTCTGCTTCCGGCTTATAAACTATCTCCATGCAAAAAATCATGTCGAACCGTTGGTTGCCTCGTTCCTACGTGAGAAATAATATTTAAAAGTTAGATCGTGTTTCGTTCGTGTACCGGTAAATTAAAGATACCTAATATTATATTCTTTGTTTTTAAATACTAGTAATACTATTAACATTACTAATATTTCTCCTAACCACTCCTGGTAAGCTTAAAATGCCGGTGTTAGGTTCACGACAGTAGTCGAATGGCGGATTCGAACAAACGACCTTTTGAGTTCGCGGTCCGCACCCTGCCATTAGGATAGTGTTGCTTCAAATCGCTAATGGTGCTTATATAGGTTTCGGTTTATGTTCTGGTTTTAGAATAGTCTCAGTACCACTAAGTGCCGGTTCTGTACCGTTATTTTTTGAAACTTTTTAATCCATAAATTTTATTACGTATTGCTTGTATAATATACTTAGGTACCTATTATAACTTTCATAATGTGGCTGGAAAAAGTAATGAAAAATAATAAATAATACAATATCGTGATCGATTATTAAGTAGATAGATACTTAACTGTTATAATAGATACGTAACATGTTCCATAAAAAAAATATTATTTTGCTAAAAAATATCTGTGTTCACTTTACATAATTTTTGTATAATATTATAGTGGTTGAAAGTACATTGCAGTCTTACAGCCCACAGAATTATCCTTATTTCATACAATTTATCCTCGGTTTTTCTACAATATCAAATCATCATAATAAATGACCAAAAAGTACTTTAATCTATTCACCATGTCAAAAATTAAACCACGACCTAATTCAGTAAATACAACTTTTTTGCGTGAGTGCATATTATTTGAGTGGATGTTTATTTCAGTTTCCGTGTGCACAAGTAATTTATGCATTCATATAATAAATTTCAAAAGAAAAATTTTCTATTAAAGGTGGAAGTAGCGGTGCAGTAATGTGGGCGGCAACGCAGGCGGCCAAGTCCCTGAAGGCAGGGCAGAAGTGCGTAGTAATACTGCCCGACAACATCCGCAACTATATGACCAAGTTCATCTCCGACCAGTGGATGGAGGCGCGTGGCTTCAAGCCGGTCATCAAGCACGACAAACTGCCGTAAGTATTCCGCGTGGAAAGAGAAATCTTGCAGTGCGCTGCACGATCAATTCAAAAACGACACCTCCGCGGGCGGGCGCACAACAACTCCCTTAACTTTTATAATAGTCGCATAGATGCTATAAGAACGCCTACACGACAACCACTCAAACAAACAAATAAATATTCATTTTTGAAGTTATACTTTTGGCGCATTTGAGAAAAATGATGAGAGTAAATTTTTTACGATGCGCGTGCACACTTAAGGCGACACCGCGAAAAAATGCACCTCCTTTCATCGAATAGTAAAGGAGTATGACACGACTAACGAAACTGGAATTTTGATATAGGTAAATTCATGTCTTTATCTTGAGTTTGCTTGCTCAAAAACACGATTGTAAAATTTTGACTCGATTATAATAATTTGCGAAAACACCTCTAAAAAATCACTATAGTTGAAATTACAACGAAATTACTTAATCTACGTGCTTGGGAACCACTCAAATACATTCATAACATCAATATTCGTAATTTGCTTGCTCATTATTTTGATTATAAAAATCAATAATTTTTTAAAAATATTTTAAGATTCTACGCGATTTCTAAGCGGTTTTAATCGTCGCGGACGCTACGAAATTTTAGACCTTATGACGGCGTTTTTGAAGTTTTTATAGAAATTATGTTTCACTCTGGTTAGTCCGGCGATAGCCCGCTTCAACGGTTTTCGATGTGTCGCCTTAAACCTAAAAGCTACAACTTCAATTGTCTGTCAACTGTCAAGTTTTCATGAGAACTGAAAACTATATTCAAGGTAGTTATTCAAATATATATGAATCTATAAAACGTGTTTTATTTTAGTTCAGTTGTTTTGTTACGCTAAAGAAGTATACCTAAATTCTTACGTGCGTACATAAGTATACACACACACACACACACACACACACACACACACACACACACACACACACACACACACACGCACGCACGCACGCACGCACGCACGCACGTTTTTTTGTTTCTAACAATTCTTTGCGGCCACATATACAGGGTTACGTTTCAAAGAGTAGCCAAATTTTAAATTTACGTTCAAATATAAAATAATGATATTTATTGCAGTTTTTGAAAATACGAGTAAATAAGGCTTCTACTTTTATTTGAAATTATCGAATGTAATTTATGGGCAACAACGTTTTTGCCTACCGATTGACCCTTACAAATGTGTGCGTGCGCAGTAAAATCAGTTGAAATAATGTATTACCCACGCATTTTGCATTTAAAAGATAAAAAGGACAGAATGATTGAATTTTTTTTAATTAATTGTTCTTCACCATTTGCCTATATTACTTATTCTGAACCTTCTCTACAAATTTGGCTGATTATTGCAAAATAACCCTCAAATCACCAAAGTTTCACTATAATCGGATGAATGGTATAATAAGCAGTGACAAACAAACAAATATTCATACCAATAACTTGGTTGTTTTAGTTGAAAATAGATAATTGAGTATAAAATTAAATAAGCAAATATGGAACCCGTAAAAGGAGTTGCTGTTGTTGAGAGCTGCCATCGGATCGCCGAGCTTAAAATGAAACCGGGATTATATCTGCTATTTGTACGATTTATAAATATATTTACATAATTTTTGGCAAAACTCCAAAACAATTTGTTACAAATGAAAGGAAACATGAAAACGAGTAACTTCGTGTGCCAAAAATATTATATTTAGGTATATGATCTATGTAAATAAAAGCGAGAAAAAGTCTTATTAAAAAAAGAACATCGTGGAAGAATTAAGATCAATAACATCTTATATACTTATCGTAATCAACTTCCCAAAATGATATAACATTTCGACGTTTAAAAGTGATAATAGTCAGTTATATTTAACTGGCGCTTTCATCATTCATGTTTGAGACATTAACACTGAACTTTACCCTTTTATCTTACAACAATCTTTTCCGAACACATAATTTGCGAATATTTTTAATAAACAGCTAGAAGACAAGTAACGATAAGATAAAGTATAACTGTTTAGCAGTATTTAACTGCAATTTAAAAGTGCACAAGGTTAGAGCGTAACACCGTTACAGCCTATTGAAGTCCATTGCTGGAGATAGGCCTCCCCCATAGATTGTCTCAATAGTTGAGATACATTTATTTTAATAGTTATTAGGAACATGCTGGTGCCCATCTCTTAATTTGTTTCCCTCTGTAGGGTAGTGGATATTCTTACACCGCCACGGTTACGGTTAGACCGTAAGCGAAAAGCAAATTAAGTCGTTTACGCTATAGGAGGTTACCAAATAGTCAAAAATAGTGGTCTAATTTTCTTAGGTTAGGATAGGTTTTTTTTAGAATATGGGTGACAAACGAACACGCAGTTCACCTGATGGAAACTGGATGCTGAGGCTGATATCTTCGATTAAGAATCAAAATGCAGATGCGCTGTCACCCCTGAGGACCAAGATGGAATGCCTCGTTTCCAGTAAAAAAGGTCTCCGGTTATCTACACGCACCATACATAAAGCAGCCTTAAGCTGCTATTTTACGCTGTTATTCTGTGAGAGCGTGGTCCTACCACGGTCGAGCCGACCCAGATATAGGCCGACGCATCTATTGGCTGCAGCAACCACTTAATTATCAACAGGTGGACTGTGTGGTCATTTGTCACCCTTATACTAAAAAAAATTATCTCAAATTCTATTTCATTAGATAAACAAATAGTTTGTTGCTTGTTTGCAGGTGGTGGAATGTGGTCCTTACAAAAAACATGATCCAACCAATTACATGTATATCGCACAAATCAACGACGCACGAAGCACTCGAGGCGCTTAAGAAGTCCGCGGCACCAGTTCTGAGTATCGTGGACGACGAAGGGTAAGTTGAAGTGGCGAAGCTAACTTTTGTAAATTCTGTACCAAAAACAAACAACCTCAGACCCCCTTTGGGTGACAAACAGAAATAAAATGAAAACTTTATTTTTTATTAAAAATTTCGTTTGTTAGAGACTACGGACTTCCATTTGGCACGATCAGGACACACCTCTACCGCTTCTTTCACATTCATGATAATATATCTACGCCTATAAAGTTACTCTTAATTATTGTGACCCATACTCAATACATGGTTATTTTTCAGAGTAGTCAAAATTTAATCTTAAGTTCAAATATTTAAATAATGATATACCGTTATTGCAGTTTATGAAAATACGAGTAAATAAGGTTTTTACTTTTATTTGAAATTATCCCAAATTAAACGTGATTTATGGGAAACGTTTTTGCATACCGATTCGACATTCGGTATGCAATTTCCATTTTATTCGGTCTAAACCATTGAAAGCTCCAGACTATCATACAGCATCCATTTTTCATCAAAATGACAATCCGATTTAGGATATTTTCAATTGTTTCCGATCATCCACTGAGATCGTGGTTGAGAAACCAAAAATGCACCGTGTATCCTTTTACAGTACTAGTACGTTAAGATTGGGATAGACTTTACCCACGTATGCAACGTACCTACGCTTGGCGTCGAGACACTCTTGTCACTTCTTACTTGTTAGCAGGTGCATGAGTACAATTTTATACCATAATTCGCGATGCTGATAGTGAGTTTAGTAGTTCCATAAGTGTATCTGAATGCGGGGTCCAGATATCAATATCATAATCCGTTGCCAAACGTTGCGTACGTGGGCTCAGTTTGTCTCTACCATTACCGTACCTGGTGGTGTACGGAACACGTCGTTGATATTGCGGGTCGACATTGATATTACGATGAACGAAACTTATTTTCGAAAACAACTCACAAAATTAAAATTTTACAACAACACAACAACAACCGACTTCAATATGAATAATTTATTGTTGATTTTTTTTAAACGGCTCGATCCTTTTTAAAGTCGGTTGATAAAGGGTTTTTTTAAAAAAAAAAAGATTCCGACGAATTGAGAACATCCTCCTTTTTAAAGTCGGTTGATAAAGGGTTTTTTTTAAAAAAAAAGATTCCGACGAATTGAGAACATCCTCCTTTTTAAAGTCGGTTGATAAAGGGGTTTTTAGTCATGATAACAATGAAATGGATTAAGTATGCAAAGTGCAAATCAACAGTAATATTGATTATCGCTATGTAACACTAGTCAGCTTCATAAGAACAAATTCCTGACAAACAAGATAATGAAATGAATGACTTCGACGGAATTCCCCTACACGTTTGCGACGAACTTTATACTACTCAAACTAGACCCTCAAGTTCTACCCTCACTTCTGTTTATCTTTTTTTTTTCTACCTTCTATGTCTAACACAAATGGCGCCACAGCCAGCTGTGTTGATTTTTTTTATAGGATAGACTGACAAACGAGCACACAATCCACCTGATGGTAAGTGGTTGCTGTGACCCATAAACATCTACATTTATCCTCAATAAAAAATCAAAATGCAGATGCGTCGTCACCCGTGAGGACTAACATGGAATGCCTCTTTGCCAGTAAAAAGGCTCTCCGGTTCTCTACACTCACCATACGGAACATAGCAGTATTAAGCTGCTATTTTACGCTGGTATTCTGTGAGATCGTGGTCCTTCCCCGGTCGAGCCGACCCATTCGTGCTAAGCTATACTACTAATATAGCTGCACCATGACTCTACCACGTGACTGGAAAGATACATAATATATCGTCTTAACTTAATCAAAGCGTAAATAAAATAAAATTTACCCACGTAAATTAGCTTTATGTACTAAAATCGCCAATTATGATTTTTTTATAGGATAGGTTGATAAACGAGCGCACAGTCCACCTGATGTGGTAGGTAAGTGGTTGCTGTGACCCATAGACATCTACGCCTCTTCTCAATAAAGAATCAAAATGCAGATAGATGCGTTGTCACTCATGAGGACTGAAGATGGAATGTCTATTTTCCATTAAAAATAATCTCCAGTTCTCTACACTCACCACACGAAACATAGCAGCATTGAGCTACTATTTTACGCTGGTATTCTGTGAGAGCAATTTATATTAATATGCTGTTAAGCTGTGTAAGTTTATATTAATATGCTGTTAAGCTGCTGTGTAAGCTGTTATTGCTATAATATTATATAGCAATAACAGCTTACATCTGCATTTTGTTTCTTTATTGAGAATAGATGTAGATGTCTATGGTCACAGCAACCACTTACTATCAGGTGGACTGTGCGCTCGTTTGTCACCCTATCCTATAAAAAAGAACAATCTTTAAATAATATGGTATTATTTTTATAATCTATGCTAATTCAGATCACGTCCAAACGCCAAAAAATTTTTTTAGAGTTGACAAACATACTTTTCTTATTTTGCTTGGAAACATACTCCCTTACACAAATGACATGTTTCCCTAGTCTTTTTACTTTATGAGAAGCAGTGGCTGTTGAATCACTGATAGTTTTCACAACATATTCTTTAACAATTAACACAACAGCTTTCTCTAATATTAATTGTCTTTCAGTTTCGCTGATCGGATCTTCTAGAAAATGTTATTAAGGCGTTTCACTGTTATGCTCCTCTGGTCATATAATGTGCTATATTTGGTAACATAGGTTAGTGTATCTTAGTCTGAACAACATCCTCCTCCAACGTCTTGTGACTCAGAATCCTTTTCGTCACATTCTTCAATTTCCTGAACCTTAAACAGTATCAATAACCACGTTGTTTACATTCTCGTTTACTTGTTCAAAGTCACCCAAAAATTGTGTTTTTTTAAATTATATCAAGCTTGAAATTGATTAACAAACTTTCTCGCAGACAAAACTTTCAGAAAGACGTGGGTAAATAAGAAATTATATTGAAAAGTACAGCTTTTTAAATCACGACATCATTCCATTACACGCAATTTTTATCTACTGAAACATTTTGAGCCGATGAAAAAAAATTATTAAAGTGTAATTCTGTTACTTAAATTCACTGTAACCAAAGAGTATATAAATCACTACGTTTAACTGTACCGAAATAAACGTAATACCGATGCATTTGTGCGTTGCCAAAACGTTACTTTTTGTCATAGAGCAACACGGGCCATCGGCGGAGCGGAGGGGAGTAGCCATACTCAGGCGTTCCCCTGTGTCAAATTATAAGTCTACGCAGTATGGTATGCTATGCGTACAATAAAATTAGTTGCAGCCGATCAGCTTACTAGACTAAATCTAGTACGACTGAATCGACGTTTTTTTTTTTACTATTCTAAGCCAGCGCTTAACTACAACCCCAGCTGATGGTAAGTGGTGATGCAGGCTAAGATAGTGCAGCGCACTGACTTAACAAATGCCTATTCTATAAGATTTAAAGACAGATGCTGGCAACTTATTCCACTCCTTAGCTGTACGCATGACGAATGATGTAGCAAACCGTTTGTTTCGAATGTGTGGTAAGTCAAAAACGAAAGAGTGGAGACTGGGGTGGAGAACGTCTGGTTATCTGATTGTGGAAGGGAGAAGGAACTTCCTGCGCACACTCTCCGAAATGCATCCTGTAGAAAACCGAAAGTCTTGCTACTTTGCGCGTTATACTAAAATGCCGAATTGTTCAATTTTTTGCTGGAAAAAGGGATTTACCAAGTCAAATTTACAAAACTTAAAAATTACAATAATACCGTTCGTGTTTTGGATTTGTTTACTAACACAGGCTGCTCGCTCTCATACAATATGCAGATCGATCGAGCTACTGATCCGAGACTGTAGCAGAGTTATCGCTTTCACCGAGTGATACTGGTATAATGTATCTGTGTATGAAATTGTTAGTATTATTTGTTGTGCGAGTTTCATAGAGACAGATGATTGTTTGTGTGCGCAGATTTCTCTCCGCAAAAAATGACAGATAGTTCTGTAGCGAGAAAAAATGCTATGGCTACTCCCCTCCAGTCCGCTGGTGGCCCGTGTTGCTCTTTTTGTAGTACATAATATAGACAGTTACAAACGCATTGAGCTATGGGCACCATAAATGATAAAATATATCTTTATATAACGCTACCTCGCTTCTAGTAAATAAATACTAGAGTAGTTTGACTGATTGCTATTCTCTAATCTACGCTTTAAAATATAAAGAAAGTTATGATATCTCTAAAATGTTACAATCATTCGTGAAATTTTCAAGGTTGCCTATGCATTATAACTATCTTTTGGACGCTACTGATACTACTTAGCAATTCTAATTACTAGCGTATTTAGGTACAATAATGTAGTTACAAACATGTCATCTCGGTCAATGTTCAACCTGAGCGGCAACTACCAAATAATCAGTATCCATCACCTGCTCAGATATTACAGTGTAAAAAGTTTACATTAAAAATAGTTTCACTCGTCCTGATATAAAATGCCCGATGTATTTCGCTATTTGATAAGACTTGTAGTAGGATACAGTGGTAGTACAACAGCACAACAACACAACCTAACCACATTCAAGAACCAACAATTAGTGTTTTAGAACAAACGTTCGTTTTGGTTGGTATTCGAAGTCAAGTAAAACGACGTACTCGGCCCTGCGGTCGCTTTTCGGTCGGGACTTGTTTTCTGACCTATTGTCTAAGCTATAAGATTGCTAGTGCACACTGATTACAACTGTATACAATTTTTCAAGGAGACATGGAAGTGCACCTTTATTAAAGACAGCATTGGTAACGAATAGAATAGAATAACTTTTTATTCAATATACATCACATGTGTAATTCTTATTGAAAGTCTATTTTTACTTTACCACTGGTACCTCTGTCCTGGGAAGAACCAGCAAGAAACCCAGCGGGACTTTTTTTTTTAAAGTAAACGTCTCGTTAAATCAAAAGACTCCATAACAGCGTAGCTCCAGTGTGTTGACTGTCCAATGAAAAACCGCCCTAAAACGTTTCGATATTGTTAATAATAAAGATTTATTTTTGAATATTATGGAAACTTGCCTCCTTTCATATTTTGTTAACCTGTCTAATTTATTTCAATAATGACAACAATAAAATGTCAAATTCTTAGTATATTTGCATAAACATATTTTAGATAATAATATATAAATTTAAATGTATAGATGTAATGATCTCCTTACTCGTGTTTCTAGTTATATACGTGTACGTCATAGTTCTCCTTTTCATCTATTTTTCGGAGTATAGTAATACGGAACATGAGTGAAAAGAAAATTTAAAAAGATATTTTACTAACGCACGGTGATGTATGCTTTCACTTTTGTAATACACAATTCTTAATTAAACTCGGCTATTTTCTATAATAGTTAATTAAGGGTTATTATGGATCATTGTACCTACGACGAACGTGTACAAGTATCGCATAAGTGTTTCCGAGTTAAGTACCAATTTGTTTCATTTTTATTTCATAAACTGAATGTTAATCTTGTGTTTAACATAATATTACTTTGTGGCCCAGTCAATCTAACAGTGAAAAGTTAACAGAAACCACTGAAAATCGCACGGGTGTATGTAGCTAATTAGTTACTAAAAACCGATTTTGAAGCTCCAATCAACTGATTATAGAAACAACACAAGTCCGACCAATTCTTGGATTTACTAGTGATTTTTCTTACACTGTTTTCTGGGAACAAATCAGCGCCAATTTTTGAACTATTTTTTGACTCAATTATCATTTATACACGGAGTAGAGCCATGCTGCAGCTATATTAATTGTATAGTTGAAGCACGAATGGGTCGGCTCGACCGGGGAAGGACCACGCTCTCACAGAATACCAACGTAAAATAGCGCCTTAACGCTGCTGTGTTTGAGTGTAGAGAACCAGATACCCTTTTTACTGGAAAAGACGCATTCCATCTTAGTCCTCACGGGTGACAACGCATCTGCATTTTGATTCGCAAACGAGGATAAATGTAGATGTCTATGGGCCACAGCAACCACTTACCATCAGGTGGACTGTGTGCTCGTTTGTCACCCTATCCTATAAAAAAAATCTGCTGTGTTTCGTATAGTGAGTGTAGAGAACCGGAGACCCTTTTTACTGGAAACGAGGCATTCCACCTTAGTCCTCATAGGTGTCAACGCATATACATTTTGATTGTCTATGGGCCACAGCATCCACTTACCATCAGGTGTACTGTGTGCTCGCTTGTCACTCTGTTGTCTATACAACAAAACGGAATTTGTCGCGTATGTGTAAGCCAGCTTCTAGAACAAAATTATTTTCTGAACCAGTGGATTGTTTGGTTAGTTTCATCACTACTTACCATCAGGTAGAATAGTAGTCAAACACTGACATATAATAAATAAATAAAAATCATGCGTGAGTGTCGTGGAACACTCGGTTAGAACAAAGTTCCGTTATTATTATTGATGAACGTATTGTTTTATTGATTAACAAATACAAATAAATCAATTACTAGCGTCTATTAAAATAATATTTCATTCATGGCAAGATAAGAAAAAGTGCGAGGGAGATGAACATTATTCCATCTCGCTTCCTTATAACCGCCAAGACCGCCTACACTACGTCAAAAGTGGTCGTGACGGAAAAGTCGTACAGTTTTTCTCGCCTAACCCCCATCCGCCAAATTCGTACTGTCCGTTACGGAACTTCGTTCCAATACTTTCAATAAGTATTATTTATAATCAATATTAAATGACATTATAATTTTATTATTATCTGTTTTCAGCGCCTTTATGTTGGTGTTTACGATATTAATATTGCCGTGTAGTGACTACTCCATATCATCCTGTAGGTGTCGTGAACGGCGACGGAGGGAAACTGGTATAGGATAGGATCCAACCTGCCAAGCGTACCAACTTTAGCAATACCCAACTTTGACAATATGAGGCAATCGATGGCCAGACTTGTGTTCAGCTGTGGACTTTTGATTAATGGTGAATGAAAAGATTGTGCTAAACTGGGGCAGTCGATATTTCCGATAATATTCTGAGATTATATCTGTAATCTAAACCAACCGGAGAAAAAGCTATAGTACGTTTAACATATTATTTAGTGTCAAGTACATCGACACTTTCAAAATCAGAACTTCAGAAGAATTAACAACCCTCGCCCTCGAAAATGCATTACGTTTATTATTTTAATTTGTTTTCAGAGGGATATGTGGTGTGTTCACCGCAGACAATGCTCGTAAGCGGTTGGCAAACATGGCCGCCTCAACTTCTGAAGACCTAAGCCAATTCATCGTCAAAAAATACTACACAGTGGACGTTACTCAAGCTCCTGCTCTGGGCCTTGTATCGCGTATGCTGGATATTTCGCCATTTGTCGTCATCGTTGAATCAGGTATAATAATTAACCATATATTACTTAAACATTATAATTTCATGTAAAAATAGCTAAAGTAACTTATTCATAACTTTAATGTGACATTTACACAGCAGTTGACGGCTCTGTGGCGCAATGAGTTGCAGCGCTAAGGGCCACGGGTTCGAATCCCGCACGGAACAAATATTTGTATGGACTACAAATAATTGTTCCGGGTCTGCATGTTTCTCCTTCTGTAATTTATGTTTGTTAACTCGATCCATGCATGATACAGGAGAAAATCCTAGTGTGGGGGTAACATATTAAAAAAAGAAAAAAAAGCTGTGAATAAAAACGACGTGGTTGATTTGACGTGGCGTATTTTGAATGGAGTATTAAGTGAAATTTCGTAATGAGATTCTGCCCTTTTAATTTGTTAGAATTGCATATTTTTTAAATTTTAAAAGATCATCAATCTTTAACATAAAGTAATATAAAGCTATGCGCACAATAGTATCGGACATAACACAAAGTATTGAGTTACTAATCTTATTTTTACGCAAGGGAAACTGTGTTGAGCTTTACACCAAGTTAATTGTGATGATAAATTGAGATGGAGTCTGGGACTTGGAACATCATGAGTGTGAATGATTAGATAACTATAATTTAAAAAAAAAACGATTATAACAACCCAACCCGACACCGTTTGCCAACCGTGGTAACTATGGCAAATATCTCCCCTATGAGGCAATCTATGGGGAAGGCCTATGTTCAGCAATGGACTTTAATATGCTGTAACGGTAACCAGATGTTAACAAATCCAAAAAAAATAAAAATACATGCCCGATGATGCATAATTGAAATGGCATATGTCCAGCAGTGGACTTAAAAGGCTGACAAACTGCTGCACGCAACAAAAAAAGCAGTTCGGGACAATAAACACATTAAATAAAAAACTGTAAGTAAAAATAGGTCTTCATTTCAGCATAATGCTGCAATGCCACCGCTGGTTTTCCACAGTCGCCTCGTACGGCACCCACAGGACGCTACGTTGTGATAGATCTTACTCCTTTACCTACGGCAACCTAGTGTAATTTTTTATATACTAAAGTGACAAATAGCAACTTCATGTTGTTGTGTTTCGTGTGGTGATTATAGAGAACCGGACACCCTTATTACTGGATACTATGCATTCCATCTTAGTCCTTAGGGGTGGCAACGAGTCTGCATTTTGATTCTTAATCGAGGATAGATGTAGATATCTATGGGCCACAGCATCCACTTACCATCACGTGGGCTATGTGCTTGCTTGCCATCGTAACTCTGTAAAAAAGCTAACAGTCAACTTGATGATAAACTTGCACCAACCAACTTCAAACAATTTTTACGTGGTAGAGCCATGCTGCAGCTATATTAGTAGTATAGTTGTAGCACGAATGGGTCGGCTCGACCGGGGAAGGACCACGCTCTCACAGAATACCAGCGTAAAATAGCAGCTTAAAACTGCTGTGTTTCGTATGGTGAGTGTAGAGATCCGGAGACCCTTTTTACTGGAAAAGAGACATTCCATCTTAGTCCTCACGGGTGACAACGCATCTGCATTTTGATTCGCAAACGAGGATAGATATGGTGGATGTCTATGGGCCACAGCAACCACTTACCATCGGGTGGACTGTGTGCTCGTTTGTCACTCAATCCTATAAAAAAAAATCCTCACAGACTGTAACTAATTACACTAGTCTCTTATACTTCAAGCCCTAGCACTGCACAGAGTGCACTGTTTCTCTGCAACTGATTACTCTAAGAGATTGTTCTCAACCCATGCACACTTCTAAGCAAAAAGTAGCACTATCACCCAGTACGCCAATTCAATAATAAGCAATTTCTTTGTGTGACGGGAGAATAGTAGATATCTTCATATTATATTTTAATGAGATTAAACTAATCTGTTTTTAGTATACTCTACGAGGAAACCTATAGGCGTTTTAACATCAGAAGATCTACTGCAACTGATAACTGACAAAAGCTTAAACCTTAACTGTTCATAATGTGCAAGAAACTCAACGGAAAAGTTCACAAGCGCCCTCAAGTGTTATAGAATATAATTTATTATTTACTATTAATAAGTCAACTAACTACTTATGTATTATTTTTATTGGTGTATACAAGACATGCATAATTAGTAATAAGTAAAAAAAATCACGTCACAAATTACTTTGTTGTAAAATTAAATTTTTGTATGTAAATATTAATAGAAATTACAGTCTCAAAGCATTTAAGGGGAAATTTTTGAACCTTGTAACCTTGTTAGGCTCAATGTATATTGCGGCGAAACGGAATGGAAAGGAAGCTGATGAAAAAAAATGAAGACTACGCCTTGTGGCTATAGAGGACGATCACTTATTTAGTCTAGATCTATTATTTGAGGCAGAAAAAATTATGAGAAAAGGGTTCATGATTTATGAAAGAAACGAAAACGTCACCCTTCGCGTCACTTCCCGCGGATTCCAAAGACTGCGCCGACACTAGATACGGGAATTCACGAGAATGCGCTAAAATTCCCTGCGCGACTTCTTTTTGGCTCAAATCTTAGTTTGCATGTTACACAATTAACATAAAACATATTTTACTATGTACAATTTCGTAACAAAAATTCGCATCCATCCCGTTCTGCGGCAATATAAATTGAGCTAGGCATTATTATAGGCATTTATGACATAAAACTGAATAATATTATTAATAAAAATGTATAAGCACTTTTATTTTGTTTTATTATTGTTCTCTTAATACAACTCCAGATTTAAGTTTTTATTCTAGTTTTGGTTGTTTTTTTCCATTAACATATTATACCGAGTGGTAGCGGTGTAAGATTATCCACTACTCTTTATCGTCTCGAGGATGTCATAAGGGTCGAAGTGGAAAACAAACCAGGAGATACCAGTAACACGGCCTCACAAAATACCAGCGTGAAGCAGCAGTTATCTCGAACAGAGCGCTCTCTTTCTCTCTCTCTCCCTCTGTATATTTACGAAAATTTAATTCAAAAATAAAAATACAAGTATTAATATCACAAAAACAAAAGTAGTTTTTTAACAGTGGTAGAGCCACGCGGCAGCTTTTGCTGTCGCACGGATGGGCCGGCTCGAACCGGGGTGGTACCACGACCTCACAGAATACCAGCGTGAAGTAGAGGTTTACCTCTGCGTTTCGCTTGGTGAGTGCAGGTGGCCGGAGACCCTTTTTACTGGAAATGAGGCATTCCATCTTAGTCCTCACGGGTGGCAACGCATCTGCATTTTGATTCGCAAACGAGGATAGATGTAGATGTCTTTGGGCCGCAGCAACCACTTACTATCAGGTGGACTGTGTGCACGTTTGTCACCCTTATCCTATAAAAAAAAGTTTTAGTAAAAAAATATATACACTACGCACCAAGAACATACAAACTAGTGATACTAGTTACTCGACTCCACATAGTAATTCATTAAGAGGAATTGCAGGTGGTCTTTTTTCCATTCAAACACTGTCGCCTATTCTCTTTCTGGTTTATGGCCTTATAGCAATGAGTTTTTACTGTAAAATAAATATCAACCTTTTTTAAGGCTCAGGTTGAGCAAAATGTCGCGCTAGTCGTTATTTGTGCTGTTTTTAAGAGCTATCTACTTTTTATTTAAAAGATATATCAACAAATAAAAAACACATTATATTTCTACATAATCTTGATTCCATAAAAGCTATATCCAATTTTTTTTAAAGTAATAAATATTAATATAATCTCCTTACAACGAAACCACATAAATGTGAAATTATTATTGATAACATGCATCTCCTCGTAAAGAAAGTATTATTTTATTTTGCGATTTACACCAATGGATAGGCAATTTATTAATGAACAGTTCTATAGTAAATTTTTTTCAAAAGACCTAAATTTGATTTTATTAAGAATTTATTTTAAAATCTGGGCATATTCACTGCTCACGGGCTTGCTGAAGTCAGTGAGCCCTGAGCTCTTCGACGTGAAGCCCGTGTCGTTAGAGCGTCGATCAGCACATACACTCACGTCATATCAGTCGAGAATAATATTACTTATTAGGTTATTTATAGGTAGTATTATTTGTTTGTTTTGGGCATAATTTTTGTATGACTTATACATATGTTTGTTAAAAGCTTTTACAAAAATTTACTTCGCAAATATCCGCGTTATAAAATACAATGATGTGTCTTACCTAGTATGAAGAAGCACCTCCCGCCCTCCCTCAATTGCGTGCACTATCCCCGTCACCACTAATCCCAGCACCGCTACTCCCAACACCACTACACTAGGCAAGACACACCACTGACGATAATACGACACGTGTTTCGCCTCTACAGTGTTCTGTAGTGGTGTTGGGAGTAGCGGTGCTGGGATTAGTGATGACGGGGATAGTGCACGCAATTGAGGGAGGGCGGGAGGTGCTTCTTCATACTAGGTAAGACACATCATTGTATTTTATAACGCGGATATTTGCGAAGTAAATTTTTGTAAAAGCTTTTATATAATGGATTTCCGCAAAGTAACGCCTGATTCTATTAATTATATGTTTGTTGTATTTTTTACTGCGCGATGAAGCTTTTTGCGTGTATTTTCTTTGAAGTAAATGCAAATATAAAAATGAAGCACCATTAGCATGTAAGGTTCGAATCCATAATTAAAATTTCGACAAATATAATTTACACTATAAAAGGCTAATTGAATATTATCACCCAACCACAATATCTTATTAAGTATAGTACTGCCTCGTTGGTCTAGTGGTTGTAGTAGTGCGACTTCTGATCATGAGGTCCCGGGTTCGAATCCTGGGACGGGCCAAAATGTCAGTTATGAGTTTTTCATTTATGTTCTAAGTTATAATTAGTATTACTAAGTTATAGTTTTTTTGCTAAAATATAGTATATTATTTATTGCTTGTTTTTTCTTCTTTTTCAAAAAATAATTGAGTACATAAGGTGTTCTATACTTATAATTCGGTAAAAAGTATCTAAGTAGGTACTAATATACCTACTTTTTACTATTAACTAAAAATTTTTAAAACTAAATTTAACTAAAAAGACTAAACTGACCATTTATTTTTTAACTCAAAACAGGACATGGGTTTATTTATACTCTAAAAACTATAACTTTATACAATTAGTGTTCACTGTAAAATTATATTCGGTATAGACGGTAATTATTAAATGCAACATATTTTTTTAATTATTAATTACATTTGTAAGTGGATTAAATTTGCTTTAATAAAGTTGGTGATGATTTTAAATAAAAATAAAATTCTGCTCAAGTTTTTTTATTGTTATCTTTGTTAACAACATCGCCTTTAGAACTCTGGAACCGTAAGTGTTTCTTTCAGACGTCCACAATTTATTCAAAATAAAAAAATACTCTTTCTACCGGAGCATTCGTACCAGGTAGACATAAAGTATATTCGATTAAAAAAAATTATGTTGAAGATTGTTGGCTTTGAATACTTCCATCCAACTAGTTACGGGACAATTTTGTGTCCCGGAGCTTTGTTTGGGGACAATGGGACAGGTGACCGAGAAAAGGGACAGTCCCGTTCAAAACGGGACGTATGGTCACTTTAGCTATAACCTGGCGACGGCTCCGTGGCGTAGTGGCTTAGTAATCAGTTGTTGCGCTGGGGGCCGCGGGTTCGAATCTCGCACGGAACAAGTATTTGTATGGCCTACAAATAATTGTTCCGGGTCTGGATGTTTGTCCTTGTGCAATTTATGTTTGTAAACTGCCTCCACGACACAGGAGAATATCCTAGTGTGGGGGTAACGTTTTTTTACAATTGAAATTGAAAGATTGAACCCTTATACTTCTTGTTGATTTTTGTATTACCTTTATTAAAGTTACCCTTATGTATAAATAAATATAATTACGTATGTAGAAATAAAATTGATTTTCATCCTCATCAATCATTGGGGCGAGGATAATGTCTGCCAGCAAAGTAATAAGCAGGCTAAGTTACAAGGTGCTCAGTTCAAAAATTTGTAGGTAGCATATGTTACTTTTCAATACGTGACACGTAAAAATTAACAATAATCAAAAACACATCTACGAAACATCCTATTTATTTATTTATTCTTTATTGCACCAAATATTTGTACAAAAGGCGAGCTATCTATTTATTTACCTATAGTGAATAGGTATCTTTTAAACTGACAATTTTCAATGCTTCATTTTTAATATATAATTAATTATAAAATTTCATAATTAGATAATATATGAAAATACATAATTCTAATATGCATTATATTAGAATATATATATAACTATATATATAACTAATATACCGAATAAAAAAATTAAAATACATTTATCGTTGTACGCTGTGTGTATTTCCATAAATTAGTTTATTGATGTTGAAAAAATAATACTACATAATAGGTGCATTATTGATGTTGAAAAAATAATACTACATAACAAGGTCGTTCGCATGGAGTAGCCCCTAGGGCTAACGATAAATGTATTTTAATTTTTTTATTCGGTATATTAGTTATATATATAGTTATATATATATTCTAATATAATGCATATTAGAATTATGTATTTTCATATATTATCTAATTATGAAATTTTATAATTAATTATATATTGAAAATGAAGCATTGAAAATTGTCAGTTTAAAAGATACCTATTCACTATAGGTAAATAAATAGATAGCTCGCCTTTTGTACAAATATTTGGTGCAATAAAGAATAAATAAATAAATAGGATGTTTCGTAGATGTGTTTTTGATTATTGTTAATTTTTACGTGTCACGTATTGAAAAGTAACATATGCTACCTACAAATTTTTGAAGTGAGCACCTTGTAACTTAGCCTGCTTATTACTTTGCTGGCAGACATTATCCTCGCCCCAATGATTGATGAGGATGAAAATCAATTTTATTTCTACATACGTAATTATATTTATTTATACATAAGGGTAACTTTAATAAAGGTAATACAAAAATCAACAAGAAGTATAAGGGTTCAATCTTTCAATTTCAATTGTAAAAATACG